AAGTCTCTTGGAGGAGAGACGAAACGTTTCATTAGAGAAGAACCCGTCCAGAAGACCTATACAATTTTTTTTTCTTTTTGTGACTTCAGTAAGCTTCTCATATTTAGCTTTGTGCAACGTGTTGTAATGGTGACATATAACAAAGTCCTTCATAGCAGACAGCATCTCTAAGACTAAACACATAAGTTGGCCTTAAAATTCTKTGAACAGATAGTCTATCTCCCCCCAAAAAACAACAAAAATAAAGTTTTTATTTTTTYACTTATCTTTGGCAAGCCAGAGGGAAGTCACCCACAGCCCGGATGTGGCCTGTGGGCCAGTTACCTATCCCTGCTAGTCGACTAGAGGGCTCGTTTTTGCAAAATGTTTTGTAATCCCATGAATTGCATCAGTTTGCTTGTCCTCAGCGACCACATTCAAAGAGCAAAAGGGGAAAAATCCTTGAAGGAATGCATATCACCCTCCACCTTTACTGAGAAATGACTGTGTTGTAACCATTGTGGTCAAACCTTGACAATGTGATGCAATTTATACGCAATATTGTGAGAAGTTATACACATGTATGTGTCAAGTTTTAGCTCAATATCTGTGAAACTGAGCYAGATATTTCTTTTGTGATTCTTCTTGAATTGGGATGACTCAAAAGTTAATCAGTTGTAGACTTGACATCAAAAAACTGTGGTATGATTGTCTGTGATTTTATCACATCGACTCAGAGGAATTCGGAATGTCTTTGAAAACATTGTATGTGAAGATAAAGTCTGCAYGGAGTGAAATCTTTGTCCTGCCTGAGTGTCAGAGACAACTAAGAACTACAAGTATTTATGCTTATCACTGAGAGATCCAGCTTGCCTGACTGTTTAAGACATACTGTAATTATGATACATACAGTATATAAATAAATATTTAACAGTAGATGTATGTGCAAGTTTCATTAAGTTTATCCACTGGCTCATTTAAAATAAATGTATATATGTGATTACCCAGTAGAGTTTGTATCTTTTTCCACAGATTTAGAACAAATGGTTTTGTTTTTAAAAAGATAGAAACTCCTTTTCCTCAAATTGATATATTCCCCCTAAAAAGATAAAAAATATTGGTATCTCTGTGTATGAGTGATAGATGATTAAAAAATTTATTCATCACTGCCTCTTAATATCACCCGCAGAAGGCAGAGATAATGTTTTTACTTGAGTCTGTGTATTTGTCTGTAAAATATAGTTTTCTTTCAACCTTYAAAGCAGCAGGAGCTTTGGACCAACTTAAACATAAACCTGCTGTGGTTTATCCTCTATTTGCAGATATCTCTTATTTTGCAGTTTCTCCCCAAGTTGAAAGTTTGCACCCACATGAAGCTTTTAATGTCTTGTTTGGAGTTTATGGAACTCCCCGCGCTGCAGTCGGACAGTGCTGTAAAAGGCTTTTGATCTCTGCGATGCTGCTTTAATTTGACACATCAGAACACTCTCATTAGTCTTTTCCAGACTTTGTTTTGTATTGTTTGAATTTTAAAAAAGATGTGAAGCACTCCCAAAGGGAAAAAAWTAGGGAAAAAAGTTTTGATGCCGTTGCAGCTTCGCAAAAGCTTTGACAAATAAGTAAAAAGAAAAAACTTTAAGTTTTCTTTGATTTCAAATGTCTCTCCAGGTTCTTCGAGGCCGCTCACAAATGTAGATTTACAAGCTGTGACCAATGATGTCAGCAACACCTCAAACCGAGTTATTACATTCAGCCTGACCCGGCATCCTAAGCTGGGGCGTCTGGTGAGGAGGCAGTCTGATAACACAACAGAGGACGTCTCCACTTTCACACAAGAGATGGTGAGAGAAGACTCTGAGAACATAAAGCCGTGGCTCATCCTTACATGCGTGTGTTTCTGAAATAGAATTCAAGGAATATGAACCTGAGAGCAAGATGAATTATTAGGTTTAAGTGGAGAGTTGCCAGATTTTTGCTGTACCGTATGAATAATACATGTCCTCCATCCTCATCGGAGACACCGACTCGGTGCTTGCTTAGCTGAACGGTCCATGTAGCGCTTTTATTCAATTATTGCTGATGGATTTTCATCAAACACAGTCAAAGACATGATGCTTGTTTAGTATTTACTGCTAAGCAAGCACTCTTAAATTATTAAATACATCCTGTCAGACTGATGAGCAGTTGTTGAACCCATCGACCCCCTTTTCATAGTCGATCCAGTTCACTATTTGTATTTTTGTGTTACAGGTGGACAGAAGGGAAGTTGTTTACATTCAAACTCCCATTGAATCTATTGGGTGGGAAGCAATGGACTCGATGACCTTTTCTGTGTCATCACCGCCTGCTTTTATAGAGAGTCAAACCTTCAAAATTGACATCTCCTATGAAAATAAAGGACCTGAACACAACACAGTCCTCCTTGCTAACACAGGTATCAGTTTTTCTTAAATCTGGTTTAGCTTTGCTTGTCATTCTGTTCAAATTTTTTATAGTTCTAAAGAGAGAAGCATAACAATTCTGTACYATTAAAGGCATCTTAATGGGTCCACGTATTGTTTCCTTGCTAATAGGTGCTGAGGTGACAGAAGGCGGGAGCGTTGTCATCGATGAGTTCATGCTGGACGCCTCAAACTTGATGTCAAAGCTGCCGACTCCACAGCGGAGCTCCCACGAGGTCTGGTTTCAGGTGACGTCACTGCCTCAGCATGGTGTTGTCACAGTGGGTGAGAGAAATCTCACCAAGGAGAAACCCAACTTCTCTCAGTTCATCGTCAGTAAATAYGGTATCACTTACCAGCACGACAACTCGGAGACGACTTGTGATTCTTTTGTGTTCACTGCTTGGCTTAATCCCAAGGGTAGGACTGCACAAYGCCCTCAGGATGAAAAGGACGTTGTCGTGGAACATTTTAACATCACAATCACGCCTGTAAATGATCAGCCACCTTTGCTGAGAATTAAAACTCCAAGTCTGAAAGTGGTACAAGGRGATAGAGTAACTCTCGGACCTGAAAATCTCCAAGTTGAAGACTTGGACAATCCTCCAGAGGATATTAAGTTTTCTGTGATTAGCAAACCAAACAATGGTTACCTAGCTCTCATGGAACRTCTGAATGAGTCAATAGTGGCCTTTACTCAAGCCCAAATCAACAACAGAAGTGTYTGTTTTGTTCATGATGGAAGTTCTGTCTCAGGGGTGTTCTACTTCAGTGTCACAGATGGACATCACAAACCCATATATAAGCTGTTTAACATAGACGTGACAGAGATCGCCATTAGTCTGGTCAACAACACAGAGGTGACACTGCAACAAGGCCAGACCTCGGTACCTGTGACCCAGAACAACCTCGCTGCTGAGTCAAATGGAAAGGATGTCACCATTTGCTACAAAGTTACAAGGCCTCCAAACTTTGGCAAACTTCTGATGGAAAACCAAGAAGTTACAGCATTTAAACAAGAGGATTTACAAGCTGGAAGGTTGTCCTACCATATGACCATTCTCTCCTCCTCTGAGGACAGCTTTGAGTTCACAGCCTTCACTTCGGAGGCTAATCTTACCRGCCAAGTGCTCAACATAACCGTCAGACCTTTGATGCAGGTTGGCAGAGGTTTGAGAATTCCCAATGGGATTAATGTCAAACTCAACTCTAGCTTTTTTAATGTGTCTRAATTGGCTCGTTTGAGCGACAGTGACCCCGTCTTTGAAATTACGTGCCATCCCAGGCATGGGAAGGTTGTTCAGATGAAACATAAAATCACCAAGAAAGKTCTACCGGTTGAGTCTTTTACGTTTCAGGAAGTGGTGCAGGAGAAAATAGCATTGGAGCTKAACGCCAACATGACCGGAGTTGAGGAGCTGAACGACTCACTGGCTTTTGTACTCAAAGCTGATAACATCCAACCTGCTAAAGGGGAAGTTCATTTTACAATTGTGCCATATGATCCAGCACTTTCTCCCACCACAAAAAGTCCGGTCCCAACCACATCACCACTTCCTCTGACACCAATCAAGTCTTACAAGAACGGAACCACTTCCCTCGTACCGTCTACAGTTCTCCTCTCTACCCAGCAGCCAATCAAAAACCAGCACAAATTCAGTGGGCGCAACCGCTGGGGGAACTCGAACAGGACCAACTTCTTTGGCACGACTCTCGGCAAACCATCTCAAACGGAGGGGTTTCAGAACACGCCGGTTCGAGTAGAGTCCTACCCTCAAAAAACCTCCAATCCTCTCCTGATCATTTTGCCCCTGCTGGCCCTTCTACTTCTTATAATCATCTTCGTGGTTGTGGTCGTCTATTTCCGACACCACAGGCAATGGAAGCAGAGCGGCGCTCCACCACCGGAGCCTCCGTCTGCTGGTTCTCCAAACGGTCAGTGTTACGATGGGCAAACTCAGAGGTGCACCACAGTTCCCACTGTTACTGTCACGCCTTTGAACCCCACCGGCCCTGGTAGCCCAGTTCTTGACAGGCTGTTCAGACAAAATCAGGAATCGCTTTACRACAGCATTGATTCAAAGGTACTTATAAGTTCTTGGAGCGATGGTTCCCCTGCATGTTCCCGGATTATTAGAACCACTACTCCCACTCTGCAGAAGAGTCAGTACTGGGTATAAAGTTTGCCAGAAAGTTTTAGAAATRTTGCTACAAATTGATGTAGTTTCCGATTTTCACGAGGTTGAATAACACTATGAGATGGAGTGCTTTTGCCCCGTTTTAGTGTATTGTTTGTTTGCTAAAGTAATATATGACCCAGTTTCATCATGCTCATGATTTTTATTTTTAGAAGGCAGACAACAAACAGCCTTGTAACCACCATCTCTGTTCTTTTTATTGTCGTAACGATCTGAAATGTTCACAAAGTTGGTTTGGTTTGCTTAAAATTAATATCACACGTCACATTTTTCACACMATTTCATAGTTCAATATTTATAAACAGTTACTTTATACTACTTGACCTAGGGTACACTAATCTAAACACTGGTTAGAATCACTATATTTATATGTAAYTGACAAATTCTGCTCACTTAGAAGCCATCTTTGTGATTAAATCTAAAAGTTCTGGATCTGTCATAACTTAAAGACTGATCATAGATCAAAGAAGTGGAAAATGATGCTAAAAGCATCAAAAGACTGATTTACTGAGACTCGACAGGAGCAATGATATGTTGTCTAAGTATTTCAATTGATTTTTCAGAGGTTTTTTTTATTATTTCAGTGTATTCTATATTAATGTATGTTTAGTTTTGTAAACTCAGGTATTTTTTTAACGGTATATTTGTGTTACTTTCATTAAAGGAAGAGTAAAATTGACAGTTCTCTTACTGATGCTGCCCAGCGTGGCTGTTTGTTGAAACAGCTGATTTTGTACAACTTTTATAACCACTATTTCCCGCACTGTAGTCACATTGCTTTATTTGTAAACACTTTTGCTGCACTGTGTAAAAATACTTACAGATCTGAACTGTATTGGTACTTAAATGTGTTTCAGCATTAAAATGAGAGCAGAATATGATTTTTAAGGAGGAAATAACAGTCTAGAGTGGAGCATTAATGAATCAGCAGTTGTTGTTTTTTTTTTTAAAGTTACAACTGAAAAGTCTTTCCAAACAAGTAGCCTTTAGTGACTGAAATGAGAGTTGCTATTTATTATTTATCAAAGTCTGTATAATGCCTGTCTTTAAATGATTGAGATTATTTYGTATAAATGAACTGTGAATGAGCAGTATTGTTGTGATCTGCTCAGAGGAGCCGTGGGATGATTGCTGTCACACAAAAAAACACTGTAAACCACTGAAAGTTTTAAATATTCATATATTTAGTGTGAAATCTCATTTAAATTGTATAATTTACTTTGTAACAAAAGTGGCATATTTATTTATACTTTATTTTTAATAAATTACTTTAAAAATATCCCGTGTCACTAGTTTTGATTATCATTGTGTAGATATTGATGTGTAAAAATTAACKCTGTCCTGCCGCTCGTTGCCCTCGTCTTAAAAACACTGAAACAAAAGATGCATTACAACAGGAGAGCAATTAGAGGAAGATAAATTACCATCATCGCCTCTCCCAGTTTCCTGCAATTAGCTGAACCGTGGCTTTCTTACATACAGCAGCAGCTAAAATTTTGCGATCGGCACCTAAAGTCCTGAGTACAGCACACTAACCCACAACCACATCCATTTATTTTTCTCATTTTACAGCTGCTCAGATATCTGCTACAGCCCTCATAAATACATACAGTATGTCCCAGTCTTGTTCTGCCTCGCAAACTGAATAAACAAGGACTGTAAACAAATACGAACAATAACCACAGATACACGAATGCTCAGAATTTGCCTTTAAACTACACTAAGGTGTTGAGCATGGCTGTGTTTTTGCAAGAATTTAGTGATTTGATACATATCGCAACATGGATCACAATATAAATGACGATACATAGACTATTTCCTCCAAAAGTGTGTAATTTTTAAAAACTAAGTATAAATAGCCAATGGTGGGTAGTAACCATTTACTCACTTTTTAGTAGCTTTTTTGAAAAAAAAAAATAGTAGTTTCCTGCACTCTACTTTTTACTTCACTTATGAAGTAAAATTTCTGCATACCGATTCTAACGTCACAGAATGAAGAACAAACRTGTTTTAAATGCTCCACTGAAACACTGTTTATGTTGAAATGAGACCTCTTGTTTGTACAAGCTTCTGCAGTATTTTCTCTTTGCTGAAACATTTCGAGATCAAGTGGTAAACAGTAGATGTTGTTACTGAAACAAACATTACCGAGTCAAATATTTCTCATTATGAAACTAGAACAGCCTTYCTTCTCCTTGAATTTATTTYATAATATATTRTTTGTATTGATTTTCTTCATTTTAGTCTTTAAAAGCACCAAAAATTTGCACACAACTTGCTGTTTTTTGTCAGTCTGATGGCATCACATTAAATCAGATGTTAGAATTGATATTTCCGGTTATCAATATTTGCTTACATCATGTCAACGAGGATGTGTAATTCTATTTATCACAGTGACGATCCTTCTGCTTGTAATCCTAGGAACTTAGTTGTTATGTGTTCAGKTGTGTAAAATKATTTATTTTATTTTTTGGTGTCAGATCCCTTCACAGTGCAATACCCACCCTGTGTTTTTTTCCACAAGAAAGAGTAATTTCTGTTCTCCAGCAGAGGAAACCGGTGTGGAGAAAACTGCTGACATGACAGAGTGAGTTACAAAACGGGAATGTCTGAGAGGAAGAGGTCATATGTTCTGCATTTAGCAGAGTCAGGGTCTCGATTATCGCCGTGTTCTCGGTCCGAGGTGTTATTCAGGCCGAGAGTCGGCAGCACTCTGAGAGAACGAGCAAGTGAGCTATTAGCAGTTAATACTCTGCACCACGAAAACACAGAAAGACGTGTCAGATGGGTTTTTAAACCTCAGATATTAGCTCTCACAAGTAATTTAAGGGTTGGAAATTGTGGGGCTGAGGCTTAAAGAACAAAAGCCCTCCCCTCCCTTTTTTTAAAGATGAGGCCACATGAGACAAAGACATGTTGGCTCATTTGGTTTAACAAGGTTCCACACAGACAAATCCAGATGGTTAATTAAGTCACTTCTTACTCCATTTGGATCTTATAGACACTTTGTTTCAGTTGTAATAAAAACAAAATGAATAAATAAAATAGACTTTTTATTTTCTTTGTGTGAGACGCTCRCAGATGAAACCTTGGAAGTGTCTTTCAGCTGATTCACAACAACTCTGTTGTGGACTCTGTACCACAGAGCAGACAGTGTCCCTACAAACCCAGGAGCCAGGCAGAAAGAGAAATCACACACACGACAGGCCCTGGAGCAGTGTGGTTATCCTGACTGGGCTTTCCTGAAAGCAGACAGGAAACACAGACAGGATTCCATGCAACCTTCAGGTGAAAATGAAGACCCCAAACCCAGACCCAAACCAGTGGTTATTCCRTATGTTGCGGGTGTTTCGGAGAAACTGAGACGTTTATTTTCTAAACATGATGTCCCAGTRGCTTTCAAACCCCAAAACACATTACGGCAAAGGCTGGTTCACCCCAAAGATCCGGTGCCCCGGCACAAACAGAGCAATRTTGTATATGCTGTTAAGTGCCAGGAGGACTGCGACCAGTTATACATCGGGGAAACAAAGCAAACACTGTTCAAARGAATGTCCCAACACAGACGAGCTACATCTAATGGCCAGAACTCTGACGTTTTCACTCATTTACAGGCCAGCGGTCACTCTTTCAGAGATGAGGATGTTCTCATTCTTGATAGAGAGGAACGTTGGTTTGAGAGAGGAGTAAAAGAAGCCATTTTTGTAAAGAAAGACCGTCCATCATTAAACAGAGGTGGAGGCCTCCGTTTTCAGTTGTCCCCCTCCTACAGCGCTGCTATTGCCAGTATCATTCCACCCCCTGTTAACAATAGGTGTTAATGAGGTGTCAACGATAGCCATGTGATGTGAGTATCAGTCACATGGAGGCAGGGCTTAAAAGCCTGAATTTTGCCTGAAACTCTCAGACTGAAGAAGTCTCTTGGAGGAGAGACGAAACGTTTCATTAGAGAAGAACCCGTCCAGAAGACCTATACAATTTTTTCTTTTTGATTCACAACAAGCTCATCAAGGACTGTAAAATACGGCAGAGGCTTTCAGAATCTACCAGCCAGGTGCTGAAAGCTGTGATGGTTGAGCTTTAAGAGGAAGACTTGCCTCACAAACTATGATCTAATGCTAARAAGTATTATAAAATGTGTATTAATGTTTTTTTTTTTAGTTTGTTGTTTTGACAGAAGCTCATCTGCAACATTTACGACCAGCAAAAAATAAAACAACGGAAATCTACAATTCCTTTTTTCACTACTTGTGTATAATCACATTTTTTTTAAAAGGTAGGTGAAATTACCTTTAAACATTGCCAGCTTAGCAATGCATAAACAAAAACACAAGTGGTCATCTCGCTGTCCACTGATTTAATGTGTCGTTTCAGATTCTCCAGCTGTTGGGTGATTTACCAGATGTTTGTCCTGATGCTGAACTCCTCCTGGAAGCTCACAGCGTTCTGAAGGGTGCGTACTCTCWGCGTTACGGCCTTACTGAACAGAACCAAATAGAGAGAGAAATTATTTGAAACATTTCTTTTAAAAATCAGCACCATGTTACAGTAAGGATTCCTCTACAAAGGACTAATTGATAGTTAAGCTGTAGGGTTCATTTATTTGTGCTCTATATGCATTCATTATAAAATACATTTTAAATATCTAACATTTGTCACTTTCATAACTCTTTATGAAGTGTTTGCAAACTCATTGTAAAGCATAAATAAATCCTTTATAAAGGTGTCTCTGTTGTAAAGGTTATGAGCCTAAAAAAAGGACTTTATATGGAAATATACAGAAGAACCTTTGGAGGTTAAAAATTAACTTTTTTAAGTGGTAAAATGATGACGTCAGGGTGATAAACAGAGAAGGTGCCCAGTGAGATGTGTCTGAGTTCACTATGGTCCAGAACATTCGTGTGACCTCTGTGTGTGTGTGTGTGTGTGTGTGTGTGTGTGTGTGTGTGTGTGTGTGTGTGTGTGTGTGTGTGT